ACAATTCCCTAGCCACATCTCTAGTTCTTTTTTTTTTTTGCGGTACGCGGGCCTCTCACTGCTGCGGCCTCTCCCGTTGCGCGCAGGCCCAGCGGCCACGGCCCATGGGCCCAGCTGCCCCGTGGCACGTGGGATCTTCTCGGACAGGGGCACGAACCCGTGTCCCCTGCATCGGCAGGCGGACTCTCAACCACTGAGCCACCAGGGAAGCCCTAGGATTTGATTTTGATGCAGTACAGAGAATGAAGAAGTTAAATGCCATGAGGAAGCAGTCAGCCAAATGCAGAATATGGGAGCTCTGTGTCAAATGACCCAGTTTCTTTAGCAAATAATGACAGAAGGGTAGGGGTGACTGCTTAGATTAAGGGTGTTGATTAAGAGAGGAATCAACCAATTGTAATGTGTAGACTATGCTTAAAGATGGATTCAAACAATCCAACTATAAAAGACACCCTTGAGGCAAATAGAGAAACTTGTGCATAGACTTGACATTAGGTAATTATTATTTTTGCTAGGTGTGTTAGTGGCATCGTGATATCGTAGGATTCTTTGTTTTGTGATTAAAGCCTTGGGTTGTATGGTTTCCAGGCTGTGTTGATATCTTAGCTTGTAGTAATGAAATAGGTAGTTCAAAGCATCTATTTGGGGAAGTTCAAGGACCAAGTCTAAATAGTGTTTGCAGAGACCCTTACCCCTGGAATAAAGACCACTCGATATATGTAGTTCATTGCTTTGCACTTCTAAGGACATGAGGATAAGCCCACAGGTATCCAGGACCCTTTCCTCCTTTGATTTCTTTATTTCCCTTTCTGAGCCTTTCAGTGACCTGGATAGATAACTGGGCAGTATATCTCTGTTTTTCATGCTTACGTTTCTTCTGTTTCTGGTATTCCTAATAAGGTATGGCTTAACGGGATTCTCTTGGCATTTTGAATAATTTTTTGGGGGGGTGGCTGTGTAAGACCAGAAGGAGCTTTACCCTCCCTGGCACCTCCCGTTAAGTGCAGCAGCATGTTGCAGCATACTCCCAAGTCACCATGTCAACCCAGATCTCCAAATGCTCATGGCGGGGGTGTTGGGTGCCGTACTGTGACACTTTGAGAACTGCTGTATGCTTTAGGGGGGTCAGTCTGAGAGAAACTAAAGAAATCTGACATCTAAATGCCATGCCTGATCCTGGATTGCATTCTGGATTGGATTGGTGTAGGGGCGTGGGGAGGGTGGTCCAGTTTGGGGGAAATCTACAGTTTTAATATGTACCATGTATGAAGTGCTAGTACCATATCAAAGTTATATTTCCTGAAATTGAAAATCAAATTGTGGTTATGTAAGAGAATGCCTCTGTTTTTAGGAGAAAGCACACTGACATTTTCGTGAGTAAAGGAACATCATGTCTGCGACTTACTCTCAAATGGTTCAGCAAAACAAGAAATTATGTATATGTGTGCATCAACTTTTGTAATATAGCAAAATATCGACAGTGGACAAATCTAGGTGAAGGGTACATGGACAGTCATCAAACCTTTCTGGCAAAATTTCTGTAGGAGTCGTTATTTTTTTGAAATAAGGAAGTTAGAATATCTATCAGCAAAGAGGAACCTTAGCCTTCTTCAGCTACCTCCCGTTCGCTGTTCCCGTTCTAAATCAGAGCTTGTGTCTTTCCAGGTATCGGATTTGGAGGGATGCTGCCAACTGGCTGGAGATTAATCCGGACACGGGTGCCATTTCCACTCGGGCTGAGTTGGACAGAGAGAACGTCGAGCATGTGAAGAACAGCACGTACACGGCCCTCATTATAGCCACTGACGATGGTGAGGATGCCCTTACCCCTTGGTTTTTACTGCTTCACCCTCCTGAGCAGCTCACTGCCTTGCCCCTATCCTTTTGGAGGCATGAATTCTTTCGTTTTCTTTCATTCTTCAAAAGCGTTCTCAAAGCATTGTCCAAAATGCACAGAGCTTAGGCCAAGCAGAAGTTCCTTTTTACCACCCCCTCTGTACCTGAACACCCCATGGGAGCCAGACTGCCTGGGTTTAGATCCTAGGACCAAAGCTTAATACCTGTGTGAACTTGGACTTATTACCTAATTTTTAGGTCCCTCAGTTTCTTTATCCAACAAAATGATAATACCCCGTCTAGGTTAAATGAGTTAATTTATGTAAAAGTGCTTGGAAGAGTGCCTGCTCCCTAGTCTGTGCTCTGCAAGGACTGTTATTATCTTTATCATCATCATCATTATTAGTGAAGTGTGGCTCCTTCCAGACTGTTTCTGTGTATTTGAATACATTTATAAACATATAGAAATATGGTTTATTATAAAGCCACTATCTGGTTTATAGACTATTTTTGTTTTTATTATAAAAACCATTGTCTTATGCATGTTTAATTTTTTTTCCTTGAACATATGTCTTGAAGACACAGAGATCTATCTTGGCACATTATAGATCTACCTCTTTTCAATTAAATGATGTTATCTGCATATTGCATAATTTAACCATTCACACATTAAAAAAACACCGGGATTATTTCCAGTTCTCCATTATTTTTGTGAGTGATAGGTAAACATCGTTGTACATGCCTTTGTGGGCAAGTGTTTCCCATGGATAGATATTCAGAAGCAGAGTTACTGTTAAAGAGACCTGCTAGTTCCTGTGATTAAATCTGTTCCCCTCTCCCTCCTCAACCTCCTGAGGTAGTAATTCCAGATTTGGCAATCCGGAAAGCAAAGGGCAAGGCGAGTAAATCCATGGTGGGGCTGGATGGGTGGCTAATGAGTGATGTAGCCTTCATCATATTCTGAGCATGCTGTGGAAGGGTAACCCTGGCCTAGTCATTTAGAATCTAAAACCTGCTCCTGGAGCTGTCATTTGGGAGGCAGCAGGTGAAAAGCAGAGAGCCATGATGGGGCTCCATTTGCAGAAATGTTTTGCATAAAGGGGAAGCTAACCCATTGCTTGGGCAGCAGTGCTATGCTGGCCAGCTGTCTCTGGCTGCACGGGAGTTCCCTAGCCTGGCCTGGAGGTAAACAAGGGTTGACAAGGTTCCTGTAAAGTTCCAGGGAGTAAATATTTCAGCCTCTGTAGACTGTACAATCTCTATTGCCATCATAGCCTAGAAGCAGCCATACACAGTTTGAAAAGGGATGAGCATAGCTGTGTTCCTAATTTGGGTGGAAGACCTTAGTTTGCTGACCCCTGACCTAATACTAATGGCTAAATTATGGTACTTTGGAATATATTCCTTCAAGTGTTACTTTGTGCATGACTCAATACTTTTGATGTAGGTCTAAGAGGAGAATGAAGTTTCTTCAGAAAATCTGTTATCTTATTAAAAAACATTTTTTAAAGTTTTCTTTAATTAAAAAGAATTTTAGGGGCAGTGGTTAAGAATCTGCCTGCCAATGCGGGATACGCAGGTTCAAGCCCTGCTCCAGGAAGATCCCACATGCTGCTACAACTAAGCCCGTGTGCCACAACTACTCAGCCTGCGCTCTAGAGCCTATGAGCCACAACTACCGAAGCCCGCGCACCACAACTACTGAAGCCCACGTGCCTAGAGCCCGTGCTCCGCAACAAGAGAAGCCACCACAATGAGAAGCCTGCACACCACAACGAAGAGTAGCCCCTGCTCGCCGCAACTAGAGAAAGTCCACACAGCAACGAAGACCCAATGCAGCCAAAAATAAATAAATTAAAAAAAAAAAGAATTTTAAATGATGCTTGCTCATTGTTAAGAAAAGAAAATTCAAATGATACGGTAAAAAGATCCATCCATGGGTGAATGGATAAACAAAATATGGTATACACATACACGATGGAATATTATTCGGCCTTAAAAAAGAAGGAAATCCTGTCATGTGTTACAATGTGGATGAACCTTGAGGACATTGTGCTTAGTGAAATAAACCGGTCACAAAATGACTGATACTGTGGGTTTCCACTTAGATGAGGTACTAATGTGGTCAAATTCATAGAAACAAAATAGAATGGTGGTTACCAGGAACTGGAGAGGGAAACAGGGAATTGTTTAATGGGTACAGAATTTCAGTTTTGTAAGATAAAATTATGGAGAGCTGTTTCACAACAATGTGATTATCCTAACACTACTGAACTGTAACCATTTTAAAAATGGTTAAAATGGTAAGTTTTATGCTATTTCTTTTAACCACAATTTTCAGAGGTAAAAAGAAAAAATAATCACTATAGCCGCCCAGGTATAAATATTTATGGGTTTGAGATACATTCCTCTGGGGTTTTTTCCCTGCGATATGCTAACATTGATGATGATGATTCTTTGAGGGTCTACTTTTTCTATTATCAAGTGCTATGTCAGGATGTAAAAGAAATACAGACAGAAGTGTGTATAAATCTCTGAATCTAATGTGAAAAGCAACTTGCGGCAATTGTAAAAGGCTCAGTCCTTTGATAACGATCTTAAAGCCTTAGAAGTTCAGAGAAGGAGAACTAGTAGGGGGTGAGGAGGACTTCTTAGAGTAGTTAAAAAAAGTTGTGTTTTTTAAAAAAATTTTATTGAAGTATAGTTGATTTACAATGTTGTGTTAATTTCTTCTGTACAGCAGTCACTCAGCTATACATATATATATATATATATATATTCTTTTTCATATTCTTTTCCATTATGGTTTGTCACAGAATGTTGAATATAGTTCCCTGTGCTAAACAGTAGGACCTTGTTGTTTATCCATCCTATGTATAATAGTTTGCCTCTGCTAATCCTAAACTCCCATTCCTTCCCTCCCCGCCCCCCCCCCCCTTCCCCT